ATTTTCCTCGGCGGTGAAACGATCCGCGTTTCCGCGCGGAAACCCGCGCGCGGATCTGTCAGCGGATCCGGATCTTCCATCGCTCCTCGTTCGGATGTGCAGTGCTGCATCTGGTCGGAAAGCAAAGAAGGGGAGATTGAGAGAAAAATCCTGAAGGCCAATGGTGCCTCTTCAAGCTTTTGGAACCCTCAAAACGATCCGCAACGATCCGCCGGTCTCCCCAAACAGGTCTTTTCCCAGCAGGTCTCCCAGCAGGACAATTGTTTGGAGGGCGGCTCCCGGGTCTGTCTTTTCTCCAAAAACTTGAGGATCTCTCCACCAAATCTTCGGGTCTGCATTGAATTAGACCTCTCAACGTTCGAAGGCAAATAGACCAGTCCACCCCCCCTCAAAAATACAGATCTCGCCACGGTGGAGGCCTCTTCCATCGCGGTTTTCGGGATCGCCGGTCTCCGCGCCCCACGGGTCACGCTGCCACCGGGTGCACCGTCCTGGAGAGCTGCCACCGGCGGTGTCGGAGGTCGTCCTGTGGTCGGTCGTGGTCGGTCGGGTCCCGCCGTCGATCGCGTGGGACAGGAGGACAGACGACCCGACTCCATGGAGTCCCGGAGTCTCCAGCACCAGAGCTGGGAGGGTGACCATCTCATCTATACGAGAATCCATCGTCATCCGTCTGACGTCTGTCATGTGGAGGCTTCAGAGATCTTCAGAGGCATCTGGCCACCAAACCTTTCGGAGCCCCAAAGTGTGGGGGAGCCCTGCTCAAAGCAGTCGCGAGATGTTCGAGAGATGCCCGGACCTGTGCGGGACTTTTGACAGAAGAGATCCAAACCAAGATCCAAACATCGAAAGATTTCACCCACGTTCCGAGACCCACATCGAGCATCATGGAACCGGGCGAACATCATGGACCAGACAGGAATCTGAAAGACGATGGGTTCCTCTACAAACCCATGCAGTGTGTTTTTCTTTTTTTCAGGTTCCATGTGGATCTCTTCACCCATCAGGGCGGTTGGGATACACGTATACCTAAATACCATCGAACAGATCCGAACAGCGGACCAAGCGGCGGAATGCGTTGTTTTCCGCTTGCCTCGAAGGGAGCGTCCGCTTCATGACTTCGAGGAGCCTCAGATCGACGTCGTCCGGGTGGACGACCGGGACCTGGACTCGACGTCTGACGACCTGGTCACGCGACCGGACGAACCACGACCGACACGTCGCACCGCACCGGTGCCACGACGACCAGACGGTCTCGTTTTGGGGTGAAAACCCACCGTGCTGTTGGAAGACGGACACCGTCGTGGCTGCGTGGCGAACCGTCGCAAACCATCTCGAGCCGGAGACGAGTCGAAAGAGACGAGTCGAATGAGTTTACTGGAACCACTCGAACCACTCGTCACCAACGTCCAGCTTGGAAGAAACACCTCCGTCTTCCGGGTCAGGGTCACTTCGGTCGTCGGCGGTCGCTGTGCGGTCGCCGTGGCCGTCGGTGCCTAACCCAGTCCGATCCTTGGTGGTTCGCTTTGCCGGTCTTCAGATGGAGCCCGAAGAAAGAATGAGCCTTTTGTTCGTTCGAACTGTTATTGCGCTTCTCTAAAATCAAGAAGTACCTGAAGAAAAAGAGTTCGTGAGCAAGATCCAAAGAGCAACCACAAAAGTACAGCTAGACAACAGGGTAACAGGGTTGATTCAATAGGAACACCTAAGAACTATCCACACAATCTGAGACCCGGTCGACCCTCCCTAGGCCCTCCCTTGACTTTTCCTTGGAGGCCGCGCCGGCGCTGAGGTTTGGATCGGTGGGCCTGGGTCCGAAACGCAGCTCCCCGGGTCTTAGCAATCGGATGTCCAAGGAACATCCCCATGGGAGGCTGATTTGAGGTTTGGCACGGGGATGCGTAGATGAACTTCGGAGCTCTGACGTCTGAATTGGGCAAAAAAAAAGACTAGACTATCCAACATCACTTTGCAGAAGTCTGGCGTGTGTGGTGCTTTCGCGACACATCCGAGGGTGCTTTCGCCGGAGCTTTCGCTTCTCGGCCATCAAAGCTTGCCCCCTCCGACTTGACCGGTGCGCATCGTGCCCTTCGTGCCCTCTCTGCCGACTGTTCAGTCACTTTGGGTCAAGAGTGACACAGCCCAAAGTCGAAAAGCAAAGCGATCAAAAGGATTACTGTAGTTCACGGCGGTGGTTTATAGAGGGTTGGAGGGAACTCACAAACTTACCTCCTTAGAGGTACTGTAGCAAATCGCTTACGACCCCAACCCCCAAATACCCTTGCTGAATTGATAAGTATTCCTGTCCAAACTCAGCCACTCTTTTTGTGATCTGTCATGAATTCTCAAATATGGGACGGGCTTCTGCAAAAACATCTGGATGGGTGATGGATAGCACAAAATCAGAAAAGTCCTATTCCAAGGGTATAGACCTTGCTGCTGAAAAGGGACTTGATAGAGCATGGTTTGTAAACAAAACATGCAGACCTTGCTGTTGAGTTAACACACTCCACCCGAGAAAACCGCAAATTTTCGCTGCGCCTCCCCTTCAGGGTGCTGTTGCCCGCGCCCAAACCATCAGTGTCCCTGCGGAAAGGCCAGGCTGATTTGGAAGATGCAAACATGACCCAGTGACATCTGGGAATGCCTGAAACATCCAAGTGGCTGTCGAGAACTTCCTGGTAACTCCGGAAATCATCTCAGAACTCAAAAGTGAGTCATTACTGACATAACATAACCATACATAACCTCAAAATAGCGGAGAGTATGAGACTACTTATGAGACTTAAGTGCGGACCTACAGATGTCCTCTGCACTCAATTGCCTGTATCTGGACTGGCATAATCACCAATACCGGCAACCCTCCAAAAACGTTTAACGGGTTCATTCGGACTTGGTGTTTTTCCCCAAAAAAAGAGGAGCTAGAAGTCTCAAGCATTGCACCCCAATGTGTGACACTTTCATGGCTACACTAAGAAACCCTAACATGTTCTAAGTCCCCGCTAGCACTGGACAACTCCTTTCGTTTGCTTGAAGAACAAAGGTTGACCATTGTTTTTCCTGTTCGTCTTCAGTGGGAAAACGGATCATCATCCCAAATGGATATTCAAAGGTTCACCACGGATATCTCCATGTTTAACTGGAAGGTCTGCCCAACAATGGCGGTGGCCCCTGATGTTCACGATGTTCAAACGTCCGGATCGACCGGGGCATCGGCGCCCGCCTCCGGCTGACGCCATCGTCATCCCCTGACGGCGCGACGGGGACGGGACGGAGACAAGGAGCAAAGCAGACCGTTGAGGGAGTGAATTCACTGTTGGGTTCCGTGCGAAGGGTGTCTTTTTAGGATGCGAAGGGACGCGCAGTACAGAGTCACATGTCGAGATTGGATGACGACTTTGGACTTGTGGACGCGGGGAAACCCTGTGATCGGCTGGCTCCACACACTGGGCATCTCAACAACCCGCAACCAAGTCACCTCGTCACCTCACCTCGACTTCCACTCCAACGGACTTGGGATCTTCCACACCCAGCTGCACCCAGCTTCCACACCCGTCCCGGACCGCCCCCGATGGAGCCCCTGTTCCGATGGGTGCGCCCTTGGGTTTCCGCGGTGCGCCCTTCGGCTCGTCGGAGCTCGCCCGGCGCCTCGTTGGTAGACGAACTTGATGCGATCCATGAAGCCACCCTCGTCGAAGAGCGTCTCCTCCTGATGTGCCGCGTGCGATTCTCGGCGAGCACAGCCGCACAGAGAGTGGATCGCATGGGACCGGCAGTGACCGACAGTGACCGGCAGTACGTGTGTCTGACGAGGAAGGGAGGAAGGGGCGATGAATGAGGGAGAAGGTGTTCAAAGGAAAAGGTTCCGGCGACGAACAAACCCTGTCATGGAAGGTCGTGGTGGCAGTGGTTGTCATTTTGCAGAGTTTGGATGTAACATGCTTGGAAAGAGTTGAGAATGTGCATAGAAAGCATTGCATCAAGAGAGTGATTGAGAGTGCATATCTGACCAGAACAAATCCAGATCATATTTTGTCCATCTGTTTCGCTGTTTCCACCCTTGAACCCCTCGATCGGAGCTTGCTTTTTTATCTTTTTGTATAGTATCCCTTTCTTCGACCTCCCTTTCGCCGTGTCCACTTGCGATCGACCAAATTCGGCACCTCCTTCTGCTTCTCTCGACTAAGCTGAGCCGTGGCATGCATCTCCTGCGATCGACGAAGCCGTCCGGTCGCGCGGTGCTGCGCCCCAAAACGTCGTGTTGTGCGATGTCTTGAATGTTCGATGCATTGGTTTTGACATGAAACCTGTGATGACTTCCAGGGGCTCCAATGACGCATTGCCTAGTGAAAGCCTGATGTAAACCCGTGGGATGGAAGTGATGGAAGGGTTGCAAGCGTCGGCAAGCGTCGCAAAAGTGTGGAAAGACCCCGGGCAGGGTCATATCCGTGCAAAGAGGTCCGAAACTGCTGCATTTTTGTGCTAAGTCCTGCTCTTGACTTTGAGCATCTTTGAGCGTAAAAAACAATAGTAGCAACTTGAACTAAGGCACCTGTGCCTCCATCTCTAACGTTACTTCTTTATCCGTTTTTTCGTATGCTGCTCCCCACATCTCCCTCCAACGTTGAGCCTTGCCCCGGCCATCACCACTCCTTTGGTTTCCGTTTCTATTCTTTAAAGCAAAGGCATAGCAAGGCTCCAAGCTGCCTGAGTTCTGTTGGAAGCCCTTGACACCAGTTGAGGGGGGAGTGTTGAACGTGACGTACTTCCAGGACGCTGAAAGATCTGTGCATCCACCCCCAAAAGGTGTCATGTATCCTATCTCATATTGCATTCACTTGGACATCCGAACCTGGGCAGCATCACATGCACATATGACTCATGCATATGACTGCTAGGCTCACCCAAACAGGCTCTCCGCAGCACCAGACTCTGCCCCAACACCCCGGCCCAACCAGGAGCCCCAACCAGGTGCATCCTTGGCCTTACTCAGCCCCAGATCACCACAGCCGCCACCGTCCCACTCCGCCGCCAAAGAACTTCGCAAGCTCGGCCTGGAGATCTTCCACTCGCTCGATGATCTGCTTGAACATCTCCTCTGAAGAGGAAGCCGAGTTTCAAAGGGAACGTCGGGCTACCTACAAGAAAATATCTACCACATATATCATTGCTGGTCCCCTGTCTAAGGCCAAACAAACATAACAAAATAAACCGATCAAACACCGATGTCAGCTTCCCAGTGGGCACCGCCGTGCGTAGCTGTCGAAGTGCTTTCGATCCCAATTCCAAATCGACGCGTCCAACCCACTCTCTCCGTGGACCTGCTGTTCGCCCGGCTCTCCTCCAGGCGGCTCTCGCCCTTGTCACCGCGCACTGGCGCGAACTTGATGTCGGTGGCGTCCTTGGGAAACGCCAGGACTCTGCGGCGAGGGCGGGGTCGTTCTGGGTTCCGAGGAGGGAAGAGATGTGGTGTTGCGAGACTCAGTGACTGAGTGACTGCTTTTGAGATCATTTCAGTGGTGTATGTGATGTATACTTTCTTTTTCTGTTGATAGAACATGTCTTGACAAGCATCAAGAGTGGCAGAAACACCATGCATTTGGCAACAAATAGCAACATTGTTCCCCTGGAGTTTTGAGCTCGTGATGTATATATACATTGATTTACTGATTTACGTGCTCTTGATCTGCAGTTGTGTCAACCAAACGTGATTGCTAATGTGGAGACCGCGGACAGTATCCAGTACACCGGAGACTTGCCTCCACTACACCGCTAAGATCCCCACGTAGTGAAGTTCTTGGATGAGTCATCGAAGTTCTAAAAGACTTGGAACCATACCTCTGGGACTACCCAGAAGTCGAGTTCTATTCACTGAGCTTGAAAGAGAATCATCACCCCCAATAGATATTCTTAAAGCTGCAGTAGGTCAACGGCAAGAAAGGACAAACAAGGACAAACTTGCTTGCGTCATCTTGCGTCCAGTGAAGAACTTACGCTTTTACTTCCCCGACGACCCTCTTTTTTTGGGTCCCCGCACCATCATCGCCTGCGCACAGACTCGCGCAGGCAAAAGCGATTCGCACGGGGGAGGTCTGCTCGGTTCTCGAGGTGTCTTTCCGAAATTCCGGGTGTCAAACGTCATAAATACAGAACATAAGGGTTTGAAATCATGTCCAATGGGATTCTTTTCAACCTGAATGATGACATTGAGCAATTCAAGGTGTCTTTCGAAACTTCGTGGACTCTCATCTTGGAAGTCACTGGGTTCTTGCGGCAGCTACAAAAATCTTCCAACCACCGCTTCGGTGTCTGATCTTCGAGGCGTCCACTTCGCATGAAACTCACAACCTGCAATCGAAGAGGTGGAGAGCTGAACTCTGCCAGCGCCACCGGTTTTTGCCCCGTCACCGGGCCCAACAAATCGGCGGCGCCTTCTTCCGCTGGGGCAAACGACAGGAGTTCACCGTTCGCGAGAAGAGCTGCTCGATGGCCATGGTGATCACACCCACCTGAGAGCCAAGAGGTTGGGACTGGTTGTCTGACTGGGGCGGTCATGAGCGGCTTGCTTTAAGGCGATCCAGTTCAGAGTACTTTTTAGTGGTCTTGATTGAAATACCTGAAATTGGCGGAGGACTGTTTTTCAGGCAATGGCACGATGGTTTTAGAAGAATCTCCTGGCTTGCTTGATGCAGAAAGGCCAAAGGATGTGTGGACTTTCTTGAGGCAAACAGCGCTTCTGTTCACGTCTCCGTTTCCCCCGGAATCCTCATGAAATCCCCGAACAGTTCGTCGAAAACGACTCGCCCGAACAGTTGCTTCGGCGAAAACGACTCGCCAGGATTGAAGACTTGGAGGCTGTGGAGGGAACCGGAAAGTTCACACGAGTAGTCCTTTTTGTAGACTCTTGATTCTCGATTAATTCAAAAAGAAACCTTCCAGAATGGATTTTACATCTCCATGTGGGTGGTTTATTATTCGTCAACGGTTTATTATTCGTCAACGGTTCACTATTCTACATTAGAGTTATTCTGAGTTAATATTAAAGTTCATTATATACCCCAGGGCATCCAGTTACCACTATAGTTCCAAAGACTAACACCATTAGAGTTCATTACATTAAATCACTGTCCAAACCAACCCGTGTGTCCAGACCTCTCAGAATGTTGTGTCCTGATAGTGCCTACCAGTGCCTCGTTGGGAACGTTCTCCTCACTTCATTCATCGTTGGGCACGTTGCACGTAAAACACATGTAATATATCATCATATTATCTTTACAAAGAGAATCGCCATCCAACACAAAACACATTGTTGGCAATAGTGTGTGGGGGGGGGATGTGGGAGGTCTGGAGATAGAACTTCGTTCAAACATGGAGACATGAGGAGATGGTCAAGGAGACGGTCAAGGGAATCGCCCGAAATCAAACAAAACGGATTCGCTGCTTCGGAATGGCTGGTGGTGCTGGTTTGGTCAATGTGTCTTAGACCTGCAACTTCAGAAGACACACTTTCGGGCACACCCTGGATGAATCAGAGCCACATCTTTCTTCTTGGCTTGTGAATGGTTGAAGATTCTCAGGACAAAATCCATGCACTCTGAAGTCGGTATAGAAGACAAGAGATGGAAGCCAATCCAGGCAGCCGAACAATTTGGAATCTACTGTTCAGGCATCTTTGACAAATCCCTTGTAAATTTCAGTTGCTGAGGCAAGTCCAGTTCCAATTCAAGATTCAGAAATTGAGATCCAAATAGAAGCTTGGCTTTGGCAGGCTTCCAACCAAACAGGTGCGTCCTATTTCAACACCAAGACTGCTGAAGAGCTCTGGCGGAGATCACGCGACCAAAAAACAATTCAAGCATCAAAGGCCCGCCCTGCGCAGTTTTGGAGTGCCCTGCTCATCCAACGCCGACGTGCGTCGGCGCAGGACCTGCACCTTCACTCCACGGCGCTGTCGTAGCTGGTGACTACTAAGGTGTTTCAACATGTTTCGGCCATCTTCTTGCTTTGCAGCCAGTTCCAATGGCGAGTGCCATGCGACCGATCCACATCATCAGTCCTTCCTCCAGCTCATCCAACGCAGTCGCGACAGAGCCTAACCCCGACCATCCGGACCGTTCCTGAAAAAGTGTCAGGAAAGTAGCTGGCACGACCAGTCGGGCATGAGAGTCTCATGAGAAACAAAGGAAACGTCATCTCAACAAAGCACGCGGCACGTGGCACGCGGCAGCTCGCCAGGCTCGCGGCAGCTCGCCAGGCTCGCTCTTCTGTACTCATCACCCATGAACCGGCACATGTCAGCCAAAAACGGGTGTTTGGGCTGACCATGAGAGATCGTCTAAGCCTGAGCCTTCCAGGCACGGACAAACACCGGTGAACCGTGTGTCGCGCTGCCCGTTCACCGGTGTGTCGCATCCTTCGCGCTTCGGCGACGCACCCGGACAGCGACCAGCGAAGCAAGCGAACCCAGCGACATCGGTGTCCGTTCCCCTTCGGTGCTGCTTCGACCGGCGCACCCAAAGGGCCGAAGAACCGTCGACCGTCGAAGGCGCGAAGAGCGCGAAGGCGGGGGGGTCGTCGTTGAGCCGTACTCGACGCGATGCGAAAGGGTGGGTGTCCAGAGATTGGGGCAGTTCGGTCCCAGGCTCGGCGCGAACGGAGCGGTTGAGCCGAATGGGGCCTGGCTCTCTTTCAACTCCTTCTCTTCCAGTGCGCGGTTGAGCCTCTGTTCCAGCTCCTGAGGCGATGGGAGGCTCCAGGAATGGCTTCGTCTGGGCTCGAGGAATCCACGTGACGGCACAAGTGCCGTGTCGAAAAAGACGGTGTCTTCCGAAGACAGCTTGCACATCAAAGCACATCAAAGTCATAGTGGTTGTGAGGGTCCATGTGGGGTGGACACTGTTTTCTCCTATGTTCCATTGTGTTTTCTCCTCTCTTCGGCGCCGTGGCGTCGACCGCATTGAGAACTTCACTTCACTTCGGTTCGGCAGAAACAGCGGTTCCGATCGGGTAGACGGTTCCGGCCGCGTTTTGAAGGCCCGGTGGAAAACGTCAGAGCCCTGTGCAAACCACTGGGCGTTTTGAGAGGAAAACCCTGTCTTTCCGGGTCCCAGGAACTCTTTTTTTCCATCTTCCAGGGGGTCGGGACGCCTGGGAAGTCTTTCTACTTTGAGACGACCCGGCTTCCGGAATCGCCGGCGATCTGTGTTCCGCGTCGGAACCGCAAGACGTCTCGGATCTCCGGCCCGATCAGCTTCCTGGTCCAACACCGGCCCCCCGAAATGGCACGTCCACAAGCACGTCCACATCTCGTCTCTCCTGGCTTTCAGCCAAGTGTTGTTCCAGCTCCACCTGGAGCAAGTCATAGGATCAGGCAACCAAACTTCCTGGATTAGTAGGGAGTTTGACAATACCCTCTGATGTATATATCCATTCTACAAGACATACACGTAGAATCTCTTTGGACATTTTTTAGCTGCTCAGGAGGTTCCAATTGGGTTGGAACAACATGAGCCCATGTTTTAAGCGCCGACTTAGAACACTTAAAACAAGGCCCAACAACTGCCCCACCATCTCCACCACCCGGAAAGAAGAGACCATCTCCTGGAAGTCTGAGTGTGCAGTCCACCCTAAGTGAGTAGCATCCCAGTCATCTGAGTCGTGCTCGACCCATGGTCAAACCGGACAGCTTGACAGCTTGGTTTCTTAATTTTGTCTTTTCCCCGTGGAACTCCACCTTCAGTGCTGTGAAAACACTTGACACCTTCTTCGGCTTCGATTTCTGAAACGAACAGGTCCGACACCTTTCTTCGACACCGAACTCGCCCGAGAGCCAAGACTCGACGGACGCACGACCAGCTGTTCCCGACCGGTCCGACGGGCGACAAACCGGTGGCCCGGTGGCATCAGGGAGAAGACGAGATCGCAAGAAGAAGGTGTCAAAACGACCCCTTGGGACAAAACACATCGGACCAGTGTGGCGCGGTGTCAAGTGTCAAAGCAACTGAGGTGTTTCCCTAACTGTTTGGACATGGATGGCAAGGTGTGCGTGCGTATGTGTGTCTTCCCCAAAAGATGGCGATGGCCACCTGAAAGGCCTCCTTCGCACCTTCTTATCATTTGTCATTGTACATCATCATTGCTAGTGGCTGCTCCTGCTCTTTGGGGATGATGGCTGGGGAGTTGAGCCGTTTTTTGCACCCAAATAGCGCAGCTGGTAGCAGCTGGTACCCGCCTGGCACTTGTGAAGCTGACTGCTAATGGCCAAGTGCTCATTCTGCCTCAGCTGACGTCGTGAACCACAACGGAGCCGATGTGGCTCGATCTATATATCCCTGGAAGTCGAACCACCATTGTTTTAATAGCCCTTACCGAATCACCATGGTTTTGCTAAGGGTTTTACACAACAAAACCAGCTCAACCATTAAAAAATGGTCGACTTGACTTCCAGGTATATATATATACCGTATGAACCCATGCTTTTGACCAAAATAGAGGTCACTCAGTATATATATAATATATGACCCAGGCTAATGATTTGGTTTGGAACCAGACCCACCCCAACATCTGCCCAAACAGCTATACCAATTAATCACCCAACCTTTCCCACAAATATGTTTTACTCATCCGGCAAAGAAAAAGAACTCTCCACCTAACTGGGGGTGGGCCAAGAAACCTTTAAAAATATGTCATGTGTCACCCTCCAAATCCACCACGTCGGACCCCTGATCTCTGCTTCGCACAGAGCGATCTGCTCGGCACGAAGATCCCTCCGCATCGTCTCCGTGACGGTTCACGGGAGTCACCGTCAACGGTGGTTCGGTTCTTCTGCGCCGGTCTGAGGCTTCGCCCCAGAACCGGCGTATATCTCCTACATCGGTAGACCCCAAACAGGTGTTGTTCCACATCGGTAGACCCCAGTAAACTGTTTGGGGAAAGAAAAAGCGATCCGCAAGTCAGACAAGTCACTTCTTCTTTGGTGACACTGATCTCTCCATGCCAACTGCTCTGCCCGGAGACCCAACCTGCCTGATCTCTCCCGTTCTCCGGACCCACCCCGCGCTTCCACTGTGCTCCCCGGGCAGTTTCGTGTGGATCCGCGTGAACTCCTCCCGCAGGCGATCCAGCCGCAGCACCAACTCCTCATTCGCCTGGTTGAGCTCCTCGCGGAAGGTCCCCCGTGCCGCGCCGCGGAGCCGCCGCTCGACCGGTGTGGCGAAGCGCAAGCGACCGGTGCGGCGGGTGTGTCCTGGCTGCCTGCTTCCAAGGTAACATGACGACTCATCAGCACCTCAGGCGAAAAAAAAGAAGTGGAAGAAAACAGCGATGGAAACACGGAGAAAAAAGTGGTCTTCCGCATCAAGCAGTGGAGAAACAAAAACAGTAGGCGATTCAGCAGCATCTGCATGAACTCAGTATCTCTTCGTATATACCAAGTACTTTCAGAAACCAGCCACGAACTGCTGAAAATACTTTCACCTGCTTAACCTCGGTTCGAACCGAGGTTCGTCTGTTTGATCGCGTAGACTCGTCTGGGCGGCTGGGGCGGTGTCTGGTCGCTCCCGACTCGTGGGCCATCCATTGGTCCATGCCCCTTTTCTCTTCTCTTTTTTTCACAGGAAAAGGGAACACCCCCATACCTAGGTCTTCAATAGCTATGCCTTTTTTCTGCCTGGTCAATACAATTGCTTTTCAAGCAACCGCCCATTATTTTGTCTTGAAGCACTTTTTGCATTGAGATGTTGTCTATAAAACATTTTCATGCTAATCAGGCCACTGATTTGATTCAGGCCACTGAAGTGTACATCTTAAATTTAGACCGAAAACCCTCTCTTAAAGCCTCACAGAGAGACCTCCATCCAAACCACCCCCAGAGCAGCAGCACTGCCGCAGCGCAGCGGCCGCGTGAGATTTTTTCCGCAGGGAGCCTCAGCGAATCTATTATGTTCCTAGCAGATCTCTTCAGGATCATCTTCCACCTCCTCTTCTTCCGCATTCTCCCCCTGATCAGGCTCATCGGCCTCATCGGCACCCTCCTTCGTTTGGTCTCCACCCTTCTCATCTTCAGGGGTTGGTGGTGGTGGGATCATCAGATCCAACGTCTTCTTCCTGGGAAGCACTTTGGCACATGGCTTGTTGCCACCATCTAGCTTCTCCAACATCATCACCTTGCGAAAGAGCACGAAAGAACAATCCATGAATTTTGGTACTTGGACCTAGGAGCCGATTCAGCAAGTTGTATTTTGCCTAGTCTAGCCAAGTCGCGGAAAGGTTCTTGGCATCTTGAATTGATCCACCCTTGACGACTTCAGCATGTGCCGCATCCTTGCAACCCAAGGAACCCCACTAGGGAACAATAATGTCTTTTGTGCATAAGAGGAGGTTGAGGAGACTTAGAAGAGAAATGGCAAAGCCACTGAGTAGGAGGCGATTATCTCTTTGACCGCATCCTTGTCGTACTTCGAACCACCAACCTTATATGAGGCAAAAAAAATGCATGCCACCAGCATCCACCAGTACCCCGAATGCCAAAACTCGAGAACACCAGCCGAGTTGCTCGGACCGCTTCGCTGCCATCGACTTTGAAGGCCCAAGTGCCATTGGTGTAGCAGTACGGGTTCCCGATCTTGCTCCCACCTCCGGGCCAATAACATCCAATCACAACATTCAAGAGGGGGATGATGAGACAACATGCTTGTTCAATGACACTAGAGCGTGCCTCCAGAGGCTGCTGGTCGCTTTCTTGGTGGTTTTTCTTTTTCAGGTTCCTTCTTGGTATTATCAGGTGTTTCTGAAGCGGCTTTCTCAGGTTCAGCTTTCTTGTTGGCCTTGGCTTTGCGCTTAGGCTGAACCTTTGCCCTGGCCTTGGCCTTGGCACGACCAGTACGACGACGAGGCTCGTTGGAACCTGTCGCAGTCACATTCTTGCTTGAACTGGGCTCGGCAGTGGTAGGTTTTTCCTTTTTCACCTTCCCTTTCACTTTCGGCTTCGCTTTTGGTTTCGGAGTTGAATTTGGTTTACCGGTTTGTCTTCCAGCACCCGGCTCCTGCAGAAACTTTGGTCATCTGACTGAGTCATTGAGGAAAAGAAATACCTAATCCCTGAAAAGTTGCATTTATATACGACTACATTGAAGGATGGATGCTCCAGTGCCCCGGTCTCCTCTTCTTCGCTCTCGGTGATCTCTGCGACACGTGGTAGGCATGGCATGGTGATGGCCGCAAATGATGAGGCCAGCAAAACTGACTGAAAGATGTTTCAGTCCCGCCGCTTGATCTGGGAACGGGAAGAGCAGGCAACTTTGGACTAGCCCACTCCATCCAACTGCGAGTTCATTATGACAAATTTGGACTTTGGTGACCCTGGTGCTCTCTTTTTTGTCCACCCCTGAGTGACAGCGTGCGTCGAGGTTGTCTTGACTCTTTGGATGCTACCTGCCGTGTATAGACATGTGACATGCTACTGGTCCAGTTACATTCAATTGAGTTTAAGCCTGGAAACAGGAAGTGCCCATCTATGAGTCAAGCACTTGCTCTAAACTTTCCACGGAAAGTCGTTCACGGGCCCAGCTAGCAAAATGGCTACCATCTATGCGCAAGAGGTGAGCTGGTACCAAGTTTTTCCAGCCATCTCCAAGTTGCAAAGTAGCCAGAGTTTTGGCTTTACCGGCATCACTTTGGGAGGCACACCAGTGCCCATGTTCACCTAGGATTTTGACAAGGGCCCCAAGGGGGTTCTGGGACCTTTGTTGAAAGATGTTGAAAGGTTCCACACTATTTGGCTCAAACAGAAAGAAAGAATCCAAAACAAGCTTGAGAATTGGTTGAGGGGCTTCCCAAACCACTCCAGCCCGCTTGTTATTGCAGAGCTTGTCGAAGTTCCCGTGGTACGCTTGTCCAAGGATTTGGTGCTTCACATTCAGAGGATCTTGAACATCAAAATTGTTTGGTTTCAAACAGTTTGTTTTTTCTCCGGGTGCCGGCTGCACGTTGTACCGAAATGGTGCAGGCATGGTCCTCTCCATCAACTGCCTTGGGAAAAGAGGAGATCGGGGGGCTGGGAGCCTGAGAAAATGAACAGCACCGTATTTTGCACAAGCAAAACGCAAACAGGACACCGGTCGCATTTTCTGGGTCAACATGTGGTCTAGAAGTTGTACATCGACCAAGCCATGCTTTGAAGACATTTGCTCTAGCACAGAGCAAAGTGGTGTAAGCTTTCCATCCAAGCAAACAAGCTCCTTGTCATCCGACAGCCTCCAAACTACAAACTTCTTGTAGTGCTCAGACGCAGGGCCTGAAACGAAAGATTGTTTCCAAAAGGTCCTAAGCCACAACATCATGGTGAGGAACTAGCAGCTAGCAGGAAACAAATGGCCTCCAACGCATTTCTCCTCAAATTCACCAAGCCCAAAACCAAGGATTGGAAATGGTGCCACCTTCAGCATGTCATCTCCCTCGTTCCCAATCCAAAGCTTGAAGTCAGTAGTCACTACCACAGAGGGACGGTCGCCCTTTCCAGGGCACGTCGCAAGCCTGCCAGGCGTTGCATAGATTTTTGATAGGGATGATGTTTCAAAGATGCAGGTCACACATACCACTCATTGACATGATTTTCCAAGACCACTGAATCATTCCTGTCCTATAACTAGGAAGGCCCATGTCCCCAATTCTATTTAAACATTATCACCGTGTTTTCAACGACCTTGCCTCTGGGCTGTAAACTCAGCAGTTGGCACGCCGGGCAAGTCCAACAAGCGGGTTGTATCCAAAGGCTCCGCACCATTGTCAATGCTGTAGTCTGGTCTCGCAGATGACCTTGAAACACTTGCCTCCCCGACTCGGGCTGGTGTGCCGTGCGCAGGACATAGCTCCAAGAACTTCTGGCGCCTGGCGTCAAGAGCCTTGAACTCAGAGGTGTCTGGAGGGAATCGTGTTGTCACGGAGTCTGGCCACGTGATGTCACCATTAGCGGACATGCTGAGAACCTTGAACCCAAGTGGCTCACTGCTCTCAGCTTCCTGTGGGCGGGTCTTTGGTCCCGACTCCGTGCTATCATCCCAGTGTTGATACACAGTAGCCGAGATTGCCTCCTGCACTTTAGCTAAGAACTCCTTCTTCACAAAGCCTATGTAACGAAGCTGTGGGAGGGTCTTGTCCAAAATGCACTCCGCCGCAGCACGAGCAAACTCACAGTGCCTGATCCAAACATTGGATGAACTCAACAAAAACCTTCTAATTTTCACCATGGAACCATTTACAGCGGTCCAAAGTAGATTGAGTTCGCAAATTAAAGATTACGCTGCCTCCCAAGCCCTTCCCACCTGTTGGGGATGATGTCAACCCACAGATAGTGGTCAGCATCGCGCAAGCCAAGGCCATTTGCGTAGGACTTCAAAATTTCCACATGGATCGGCAACCCTTTCCTCGATAGACACATCGCGAACCAAAACAAAATTGCGCTGCATAGGTGAGTTTTCTTTGGAGGGGTCAAACCTACTACCTTGGAACCCAAAATCTGCTCTTGGGCCGGGCAAGACTCTGCTCGGTTCTCAAGCCAGCGCTCATGCTGCCATCCTCCATATCATAGCCGAGCATTTGGGAAGTCTTGATGAGTGGAGCTGGTCCAATCGTAGATGACCGGATGGGGTCCGACTCGCAAAAGCTGCTTACCTTGAAGTTGGCACTGTGCGCTGCAATGCAAGCTTGGGATGGCTTTCTGGAATCATTCCTTTGCGACTCTGGCTTGGTGAACCTGAGAACCACCATGTTCCCAACATCGAGTTTTTGGCCGATGAGGTTGTCCTCCAGGGTCCTCTTGTGCTTCAGGACTGTGGCGGCATTGGTCGAACTCTGAAGTTGGGGAAGCTGACAGTGACAAATGTTGTCCTGTGACATGTTGACGATGCTGCAAGTGGCATTCACAGCAGCTCCCAAGTAGGCAGCGTTGCTCGGCCACAATGTTGTGTCCAAGCCCACCACAGTGTACCTAGGGTTAAATAAAATTGAAAAAAGCTAAAGAGCCATGCTTTGCTTCATTGGTATTCACGATCATCACAATCCTTAACATCAAGTCTCACCCTAACGCACTGCCAAGTGACCTCCTCCCTGAAGAGTTTTGGAACTTCGAGGTAAATGTCGCAAACTCACTCATTGCCAGAGACAGCTTCTCATCCGTTTCGACCAGGACACAGTGCTGTTCCATCCAGCTTTGTACCCACTTTGTCCCCTTCCTCATCGCGTTTTGGTCAACAAAGAATCATGGAACAGCGCTACAGAACACCCAAGGACGAGCACGAAACGTGGAACAAATCTTAGGCAAAGCTGAGGGACTGCTGCCGATCTCTGAGAAACTTTGCATCTTGCACTGCAGCTGCTGCCTCTTGAGCTTTGGACTTAAGAACCTTCTGCTCAAGAATGGACATGTCATGGTCCAGCTGAGCGCTCAGCTGCTTGAAGGTGGCTGCGATCACCTCACGGGCTGCTTCCTCCTCCTTTTTGTCCATCTCAGCGCTGTGCATTTTGTTAAACTTGGCAAGGTGGGCCCTGGCGTCGGTATACGGTTGTTTGTTGGAAACTTTTGATCGGCTGAACCATGGCTACCCAATGCCAATTTCTTTTAGAGCTTGACACCCCAACTCACACTGATTGGTTTATGCTGACCAATTACTCACAGCTTGATATGACACTGCCTCATCGCACCAATAGCCCCGACATCACCCGGAGGAACGGAGCTTTGCAAAGCCGACAAAAGGTCAGCGTCCAAAAACTGGTCGTAGAAAGCTGTGTCCAACTCCTTGGAGAGGTCGGCCCATTCGCCCTCTGGACACGTGGACTGCATCATGGCTTTGAAGTGGATGTAGGCGCCACACACCTGATGTTTTCCAAGAGCATCCTTATAGTTCAGTGGCTTTCGGATGTCCGGTGGGCTTCTCTTGAAGTCATTGATCACCCTGTCCAGAAACAAAGATACCTTGGCACGACTATCCCTGGGATACAGCCTGGAACATTAAATAATTGTTGCAACCAAAAGAACCGCGAATCATTTCAACAAAGGTCCTGGGGGTGGACTTGTGCGTTCTCTTAATTTCTCGCAGCTAGGCTACCAGTGGGTCAGTATCCTTCGAGCTGTTTGTCAGCTGCTTGGCCCATGCTTCCATACCGGGTGTGACTGAAGAATACCCTCGACTGAAGCACTCACGAGCTATGACGTCGTGGTAGATAAATGCCCTCATCCCATACCGCCTCACAGCCTCCTCCAATTTCTCGCGGATGGTAGTGTTCATCCCAGTGCAAAGCTGCACGACCGCTTTGCTCTCGGTCTTGCCGATAGCAAAGGCTTTGCAAATAGAGGTCTCACTCTCCCAGTCCTGAAGCAAGCCAAGTGAGAGAGACAATTGTTTGGGTCCCTAAGTTTTGGCGAGCCTTTGATACCGACTAGAAAAACAGAAACTCATCGGTTGAATCCAACTGTTGGCTCAATTAGGCCATGCATCTGCGAAGTGTCCTTCCACTGAGGTCGCATTGCTTTTCTGCAGCACGCGGAGTTGTCGAAGGAGGTTAAAGCAGTGAGGTGCTCGACGGACTTGGGTTGCCTGGAGGGTGATTCCTTAGCCACAAGCATGCCGAGCTGGCAAAAACATATTATCAAATAGTTTGTTGGGGGGAGTCATCTCTTACAAGTTACCCCAAATATGATACTCAATTTGAAGCTAGACGAACAATAGTGGTCCATCATGTTGTTTTTCCTAGGCTCCCCGGTTGGCAAATACTGTGCCTCGCATGGAGTCAAACTTGACGACCGTGCAGTAGATGGTTGCAAAGCTGTCCTGAAAGTTGCATAAAAAAGCGATCCGGAACCGTTGATAGTGGCAACGATGCTGGGAGTTTATTCACCCAAAGCTTGCTCCTTAACATGTTTTGGAATCTCGGCGATGCACCCGAGCTCCCGGATTGCTTGACAGATCCCCAACAGTGCCAAACATCTCCGCCAGCCCTTCACAAAGGCGATGTGAAATGGTGGAGCCAAAGTACCTTAACGGTTCAAGGGTTGCCCAGGATTAGCGAAAGCATTGTGTTTTCCTAACGCCTTGGAAAAACATACATAGCTTGACCAGCGAGCAACCGTTCAATGGTTTCATAGGTGTGTATTCACGCTCGAGCCATTCCTTTGACACCTTCGCGATTGAGATCTTCTCCACCCCTCCCAGGTCTGCATTTGTGCGAAACCTGACGCCAGGGAACATACCACAAATCAGAATCACTACAGGAACGACAGGCAGTTGAACCGCAACCAAAAGGTTTCCAAGGAACGACTCCGACAAGATAAGCTCCGAAAGCAGCAAAAGCTGATCCGGCTCACTGCATCCAGCCAAGCCAAAGTCCGGTCTCCAGCTTAGCTGCCAGGGTCGAGCTAAGCACGGGCCGGCAGTGTCCAAGCAGGAGGCGGTGCAGTATGTTTTCCTGGCCGGGAAGGATGGTGGCAGCATGTGGCAGCACTAGACTAATACTAAGAGTTGGGTATCATCAAAAATTCAGCTCAGGCTTTGGCGACGGGTCCGGTTCAAAGGTTGTGTCCAACCACTTTGCGAAGTCCTGCATTGCAGCCTGAACGATAAGAGTCGCTTTCAAGTTTTTCAATCGGCCGTACTTCGAATGGACGAAAATCAGGGTCGAACTTCCAAAACTCAAATCAATTAGACGAGTCTTTGATTTCATTGCCCCAGTCAAGATTCAACCAGTCACAACAATCACCTCTCTTTGCCCCGGTGCCTTGTTCGAATATTTATTGGTCAGGTATGCATCGACACCACCTTCTGAGATCATGTTCTCAGCGATCCTCACTCAGGCTGGCTGAGCATGTTAGCGAAAGAGATTTCAGCACATGCAAAAGAAAGGCAAAGACCCATCATTAGAGGAACAGGCGAGTGGCCAAGTTGTGATGTTTTGGACATAGGCTGGTTTGGGAGCCGCATCTCCGCTTTTCTGCTGCTTTGTCTTTTGGTTTGTTTGGCTTCCGTTCGACGGTTTGCGCTTACCCATCGAGAGTCAGGCACTAAGACCAAAAACGACCCAAGACTTAAAGTCTTAGAGCAAAATCCTGCAAACGTATTATTCCAACCAATTGATGGTTTGCACGTGCTTGAGGATGCAAAGTTGAAAGGGTGCAAGACAAACTCGAAGCGTTCCGCTTCTTTTCTACCCGTTTGCAGGCCGCTGAGCCTTGAACGAGCCTCGGTCTGGTAGAGATGACCTGGGCAAGGGAGATTTAACTGTCGGGAAAGGATTCATTCAATAGTTCAAGGAGGTTGCAGGTTCCCATCCACCACTTAAAACCAAGGTGTGTCCGGTCCGGTGTTATCCTGTGTTCTGGATTTGACCTGGTCTCGACTTCCCCATTCCGACGAATTCCCGGATTTGACATACCCCATTCCGACGGATTTCTAGGTTTGACATACACCATTCCGACGGATTTCTAGATTTGACATTCCCATTCCGACGGATTTCTGGATTTGACACCTCCATTCCGACGGATTTCTAGATTGGACCTATCCATTCCGACGAATCCTACCTAGGATTCATCAGAATGGACTCATCAGACTCAGCGCCACCAAATCCGCACAATTCATCACAATGGCAGGGTTCCCCAAGTTGATCTGATTCCGATGGATCCTAGGTGTGATTCATCAGACTGGCGACCCCCAAGTCAAGAAAATCCACACTAACAAACCCTCCTGCAAAAACTTTTTGATTCCCAGGAGCCTGAGTCCGATGAAAGCCACCTAGGATTCATCACAATGGGCCAGCTTGCCACGCAGCCCAATATGTCCACCATTCCGATGAAAAGTCATCAGGGACTCTAGCTCATTCCGATGAATTTTCAATGTGCCATTCAGCATTGTCACGGCCTGGCCGAAGCTTTTGCTTTGGCTCGGCACTTAGCTTTGGCTTTGACCTTTGGCCAAGCCTTTGCTTTGGGGGATCCAGCTTGCACAGCTTTCCGTGCAATGGGAAGAGCCTCACTCCAAGGGAGGCCCCATGCCCAAGCCTGCGCGGCGATGTCATAGACCAAGGTTTGCTTCGCTTGGTTAAAGTATTGAGTGATGTGCTGCCTGTCGGTTTGCCCGCGGTTGATCCTCAGTAGGTACCGGTGAAATGCACCTTGTCCAAAGATGTCCAAAGCCACTATTCCCTAACATCCCTGGCAAATTGCTTTGTACATGTCCCTACTACTCCCTGGTACTGTCCTTTGGATAATTATGAAGGTGGAGAAACATATTATTGCCATGCCAAAGATTGAGCAATTTCTGCCCTCGAGCTACAACAATATTTGTTGAAAAAGGACAAGCGGCTTTACTATGTTCTCTCGCTGAATCAAGGATTGAGGCGCCCATTTGCTTGCCATGCTGCTTGAGGCTCCGGGTTGAAGAACTTCAAACCTTTGGGCGGTTTGCTTGACGACAGCGAGCGAACATGTGCCAAAGTTGAAATTATCAGAATATATCAAAACCAAAATCAGTCCTTGGAAATAGAATCCTTTTGTGGAGGAGTCTAGGAACGCGGAGACATCAAGGAAAAGATCTGGTGGGAGGTCGTCGTTTACCCACTGCTCCAAATGATCAGCTGCCACCCCCAACTCGAACTCGGGAGTGCGCAGCATGGGCAAGTGCTTCTTCGCCATATCAACGAACTGTTTGGTCAAGGGCCGCTTTGGACTTTCAGCTGCAGGGTCACGAATCAGGATGGTGATACGGCAAGTTTATGAGTTAATCCATTCGAAAACAATGAACAGCATGTCATGTCCCTCATGTGTTGGTTGCCCGTCTTGCACCTATTGGCACTCCGTGAGGATAAAGAACTTCAGCCACTTTGCGGGGGTAGTGCAGAAACTTCCCGGTGTAGTTTGTGTTTGCCATGTATTGTTTTGTCCTTTGCGAAAACACCATCGTAAGCGCATGAGCAAAACAGATTTGCCCAACAGGATTTCAGACACCCTTTTTTGGATTTAAAAGGCCAAGCATCAGCAAGATGATGTCCTTGGGATCTTCAGGCGCTCGTGCCCAAAACTGGTTGTCGACATCAACTAAGAGGTCAGAACCTCAGGCCGCAACACAGATTTGATATGGACGTGCAGTTTGCTTTTTGGATCTATGAAAAAGCTGTCAGAAATAGATGGGGGCCATAAGAACCAAATCATTATAGCCAATTGCGAGAGACTTAGACTTTCACGACGTTGGAATTCAAAATGATGCGGAGCTCCGGGTCCGGAGATGCCAGCAATGAACGCTGGTACAGCAGTCGCCAAGAAGCCCCGCCTGAAACAGAGGGGATTGAGTACACTTCATCAAATTAGTTTTTATGAAAGGTGAACGGATACATATCGAAACCGTTACTACTGGGTTGGGCCAAAGGTCCAATCTCTTACGCGGTTCAGTTCAAAAGCCAGTCTGAAGGGCTCGTAGGGGAATGGGCTCTCTTCAAGAAACTGGTTGATCAGGGGGACAAAGTCTTCAGGGCGAAGGGCTGTGGGTTTCTTCTGCATCCAGCATGCTAAACGGCCGAAGGCTTGATCAATATCTTCGTGTGAATGACCTGTCCTTAGACAGGCCATTACACACGAGGAGAAGATACCTTCAGGGAAGACAGGTAGACAACAAGCCCGAGCGAAAGGTGTCAGTTCTTTGGACATGTTGATTTTGACCCTTGGGAACTGGCACCATGGCACACCTCGAGAGGTCATAGCTGAACACCACCTTGCCAGCGTGTTGTTTTTGGTTTCCCGAACGCAATTGTCACTTTGTATGTGGCAGTGCATTTTCGATAGGTCTAAGTTGAACCGCTTCTGCACCATGGTAATCGCAATCGAGATAAACTCGCAGTGATGGTTGCTGTCCTTCGCCGCGTCTGCACGCGATACTGCAAAAAATGTTCCATACCCGTGGATGCGACAGGCAACGATGTGAGCTCTGGGGCGAGAGAAGTTTGCCCACTGCTTGCCACCCATCACAGCAGCTCTTGGGTAAGCGAACTTACCCTGATCCATCCCGTCTACTATCAAACACAGGACGGGTGCGAGCAACCGAGCCTGTGCTCGAACACTCCAGTACGATAGCCGATCCCGGTGTTGATCGCGAAGGTGACGCTCATAGTGGATAGACTGTTCACGTCGGGCAAAGAGGTTCTGGGCAAAGGAACGCAAAAGAATGCGATGTCGTTGACAAGTAGCACACTCTAAATGTTGCCGTTTGGTGCGGAAAGTCATGAATGGATATTCAGTGGTCCAAGCCTCAAGGCAAAAAGCACACCAAGGCCCCTGAAAGACCAACAGGAGGAGATGACAAGTAACAGACTCAGACTAACCACCGCCGGGGCACTCTGTAGAAAGTTGCGAAAGAAGCCGGCTTCTTTCCCTCTGGATACTGCGATATCATCATTTGATAATAGTCGTGCGTCCGCCCAGGGGGCAAAAAGCGCTGCTCCTTGTCCTGGTCTCGGTTCACTCTGAGACCTCTTTTAAAAAGACGTGGCCCCTTCTTCTTTCTCTCCTTCTTTTGCGCCGGGTTCCACGACACAGAAGGGGTAACATTCAGGTGCTCTTGGGTCAGCGGTTCGTCACCTCCCTTTTCCTGCAACTTCACAGCTGCCACGATGTCATCCTCACTCCTGGTGTCTGGCAGTGTTTCTGCCACGCTTTGGTAGATAGATTCCAGGAAGCTTATGCATTCTGCAGTCGCTTCAGGAGATTTGTCCAATGTTTTCTTGATGTAGCGCATGTCGAGCGGTGCTGAAGCCTCACCCCGATCTATGGCCTCTTTGATCCGGCGATAGCGACAGCTACCTGTGCATTCAAAGTCCAATCACAAAACCACTGTTGGTATCTGTTGGTTTGTTTTGTTAGACCATCATCATCCACTACAAACCCCAAGAATCCTACAAGCCGAAGACCAAAAGTAACCTAACTCATTGTACTGGGTTGCCAAGCCCATATAGTTTTCGCCAAGCGTTGCCACATACTCGCTTGCCCAAAAGGAAATGCTTCCGGCGCTGAGGTTTTGCTGAAGTGTTGCTGAAGTCGGTCTCTGAGTACTTGAGCCGCTCGAATACCTCAAGGCAGGCAGGAAGCTGTAGCCACATAAGAGTGAAGGAGTTGGGGGGGTTCTTTTGAGGCGATGGAGTGAGGTGGCCAAGTGAATCAGAACGTTTCAGAAAGAAACAAAGCCAACAATTTATTAAATAACACTCCCTAGGTGCAACTTGGTCTTGATCTAGTTTGTGCAGGTTGCGAAACAGGGTTCTGTGGGTTTGAAGCTCCTCGATCATATTCTTGAACTTCACAAAGCAAGTCTCCTTGGGTCTTCTCTTCACCCTGGAGCACTGGCAGACTTGGTTCATGAGGCTCCGCACATCTAGATCCTTCTTGGTAGGCAGTTGCCGGCCGCATGCCTTTGCCTTCTTGACAGGCTGCACGGGAGCCGCAACTTCATCTTCGGAAGAGGTGAGCTCCGTGATGGGGGGCAAACTCGCCATGACGTGCCATGACTAAAGTTTGAACCCGATAGAGCGATATGAACTGAACATAATCTAAATCTAAAGAAGACGTTTCAAGAGCAACTGAGAACGAGGGTGTCCGAAATTTGGGGAGGTTTTTGAGCACTTAAACTCAATATGGTTTGCCAGTCTTAACCTTAGGGATCATTAGGGTGTGACCTCCAGAACAGAGCTCTGAGACTCAGACCAAGTCATGCGCGCACGGCAGCAAGGGGAAGCCGCTTGCCACTGAATGTTCAACGGACGTGAATTAAATGCTGGATCGAATTTCTCTGAGCTGCGGTCTTACTAACAGACTGAAAACGTACTGTTATGTGTTATGCTGACCATTTGGTTGACAAACAGTAACGAAGCTACAACATGTTACGACTATGGCCTATCTATTCAATAGTAACCTCACTGCAGCGCAGGCAACCTGGAAACAAACTGTAGAGCGGCGGCTGCCTGTGAAGGCACCACCACATTTCCACATGCATGCACCCGTTCCTCCCATTCATCTTCATGTTCGGGGGAAGGCAACAACCAGTCCCGAAGTGGCTTCTTCGCCAAGGGGTTCCACTCCGGAGGTAGTAGGCTTGAAAGCGGCTTCAGCTCCAACGCCTGGCGTGACAGGTGAACTGAAAGCTCCATGCATGCCCCATAGCCCGCAAGAGATTCTTGAGCTTAGCACCTTGAACAGCTGGAAATTTGGGCGATGAGCAAAGATGAAGACTCGGTCCCGCCCTGCCTGGCCGAACAAAGTGTTTTTTAGCGTTCCCAAAACAATCAAGCACAATGAAATTGCAGAAGGAGATTACACATTTCCATGATCCGCTAAGGTCTTAAGTTGAAACTTCATCCCCACAGTTGTGTTGGTGCGCGCTTGCAGGTGTACTGTGCACATTCAGTGGTTGGTTAAACACATGCCAGGCAAGCTGCAAGTCCCACGTGGCGAAGCTGCAGGGTGGCCCACTTGATCTGAAATCCGAGATCAAGACACTCCTGCGTCAAATGTTGGTGCTTCATGAGTGCTGTAGTTTCAGTTATAAGCTTGTCATCATCATCATAAGTATTGAACTGTTGCTGTTGCTCACTTATCCTTTCGCATCCAACATCATCCAACATCACGCAGTTGAGTCATGGTGAATCATTCATGTTGATACTTATGCCTGCCATTCCCCTCTTCCTGACCTAAGGCCCAGAAAATAGGACTACTGTTTGAACATAACTACTAGCTGGCCAGTTTGACTATGCTCCTGCATGATAAACCACAAGAGTGCTCGTTGATCCACGGCGAGGAGACCTTTTACATTCTCCATGAAAACGAACTTCCTCGCACGACAGGTGTCGGACTTTGGTAGAGAAAAATGTAGAAAGACTAAACGTGCATAAGTGCTGACACATCCTAAGACTGGTGCGCATCAGGCCCCATCTCTGAGGCCACTCGAAATATGTGACGCACGAGGCTCGATCTGTGGTCCAACAAGCCGAGGCCTTTGCCGGCTCCACTCACCCCCTGGCGCGATGGAGGACAGTAGCTGTGCAGGGTTCGAAAGAACAGCTCGGGTCTTGACTCTAAGGGCTCATTCTGTCGGGCTGCTCAAAAACATAGAGAAGGACAAACAGGTGAAGAGTATCAACACAACATGTTTGTCACACCTTTTGAATCCTTTTGATCCCTACTCCATGGTCCTCTCGCTGCTCCCCCAACTAGATTGTCCAGCTCCGAGCTGCGAAGTTTGGAAAACGTTTTACAATCTGCGACAGGCCTGGCAAGGGAAGCCTCCTCCAAGGCCTTTGGCACCTGATGCACGAGCCTTGCGCCCAGTCAGAGTTTCCACATTTTCATGGATCTCAACCTTTGGCAAGAGCTTGTCCGCTTGTCGGGCAGCCAACACACGTCGGCAAAATGGATGATTCTCCACCTCAAACATTTGTGCTAGAAGAGGGTTAGTAGAACAGAGAGAGAGAGAGAGAGAGAACATGAGAGACGCAAGCAGTTAGCTCCAAGGCCATGGCCATCAATGTCGGAAACATGATCCTGAGTCAAGGCAAGGCTGAATCCTTGTTTGGGTGTGGACAGTGGTGAGATGAAGCTTGGATCCACACTCACTGAGTCCAAGGTCTAATCCTCCGACTCCGGTGAAGGTCGACACCATGGGCCACTTATTCTCCTACAAAAACTTCAACTCCACCCACAAATGGGTTGTGCATCACATCCACGCCTTCTGGTGGATATTGGGGAATGCCAACTTGAAGTGTTCTGGATTCACGGCAGATTGCTTCGGTGAAGTCCATCCTTTTGGAAGGCCTCACTCAAGCACGTTCTTTCCTCCGGTCCACTTTGATGTTGATGAGGCCCCAACCCGAGAACCATTCACATACTTCAGCTGAAAGAAAGGTTCCAGGCTTTTTGGAACCCAAGCTGTCTGTATAGTCCTGGGAGAACCTCACCACATTGGCGAGATCCTTGGAGTACGAGCAGCTGTGTGCACCACCCCACAAAATCTTCTCAAGTCTAAGTATAGGGCGCTGATGCCACGATTGGTCACGGCATTTGCAGTAACGCGCAGGCACGCCCCAAAGCAACCTACAGTCATTTCAAAGAAATCAGTTGGTGGCCCATCCAAAACAAGTCTCTCAGTAACTGGCGCAGAGCTGGCCAGGCTTTGAAGGTTTTCCGTCCAAAGAAAACTCCCGATTTCATTCCTGCCCTGGCAGTCTTCGATGACTTGTTGTTCTCGGAGACCTGAGATGGAGATACAAAATACTAAAAGGTTGAACTTCTTTGTAGTCTGAGCCTCAGACTACCACAAGCGTCAATTTTTGGGTTGTTGGCGGTTTGACCTCCCAACAATTCAGTCTTGTAACATTGTACCCCGGGTTTTGCCCAACCTTCATCTCTACCAAATGAAAAGGACCCTTCTTGTTCAGCCGGCCAAGGGCTGCAAAGAGTGGAAGCTTCTCCTTCAAGGCAAGACCGACCGTTAAATGCTAAGATCTGGCCCAAAACAAACAGACCGGCCTGGGAGTCTTTTTTGATGGTCCTTCGAACTGTTTTTGCTCCTGAAAAGCTATTTTGCACCTCGACTCAACGGATAGCCGTTACAATGGGCAAGCATTGGCCACAATCAAGACCCTGGGATAGTGGCTGATGGCGCTGTTCGGGAAACAAAGCTCCATTCTGACCTGTGAGGCTGTGTGGCACCAATGCTTTGAGACAGAGCGGTCATGTCTGAGGCGTGGGCTCACTGTCACTCAGGGCCGCGATGGGGGGCAAGGAGTGCGGTGGCATGGAGGGCTGCTCTCCAAGTCCCGGCTCTAGCTATTGAACCTATTGAACCCAAAACCTTTCACATCCTCAATGACAACGAAAAACTTATTCCACACCATCAAAACACACAGCGACAAACAAGAGCTCGCAGTTCGGCCTTTTGGGAGACCACAACGGCATGCTAGTTTGCCAGTTGAATTATGGGCCTGTGACTGTGCCCCCACCACACAAAAGAGCGGTCAAAGGGAGCTCAATGACATGGTCATGCTTTTCATGAACGAATTATAGCTAGCAGTCGTCAAAATACTTGGCATTCATTCTACGAAGTCTCTTTTTTTGGTGGCTCGGTATTTTCACTTTCACACTCCATGCTTTTCCTTGCCTTATCTATTTTTTTCCAGGCAAGTTCCGCAAGAACCATTCCCTCCAGCTCTTTTGCCTGCGGATTGTTTCATGCAAAACACTCCAAGACCCAAATGCCACAATGAATGAAGGGTTGGCTCCTCGTCTTTCAGAAGCCTCCCGAGCGCGATCTTGATTTGGCTTTCAAGGAACTGGACGCTTTCGGTAGCATCGGGGATGGCAGAAAGTTCTGCTTCACCTGGGCCCATCGGTGATCTATATAATGGGAAACTCCACATGTAAGACTGGGATGAAGGCGGATTTTCAGATGTTCAATCCTCGGCCGCAATCACCCAGGAACGGAAAATGAAAACAAGTCTTCCTGGGCCCTAAGACACTGACTGGTTTCCATACCTTCGCTTCATGCTGTCAGGTATGGCGAGCCACCACAGCTGCAGCTGGATGCGGCAGCAAAACAAAACTGCCCAACTGCCAACAGCACTGTTGTCGAGTAGGGACCTGGTTTGATTTAGTGACCTAGATAGGGCGAAAACGTTTTCTATATATATGCTAATAAGCCAAGTTTTTGAAACGGCAACTTTTCCCGACCAAACGGCGACTTTTGCTGACCGCAATTTTGGCAACCTCTGTAACACATCGAAACGGCACTTTTGAAATGAAACGGCGCTTTTGACGGCAAACGACTGAAATTTATGTTGTTCTGCCAGACGACAGAAAAAACACACCCGTGGAAGTTCCAGGTATGATATATAATCTATTTCATCATCATTTCAGCAATAAAACCCTCTAGGAAGAGCTTTTACAATCCATACGGCGTGCCTTTTTCTAAATGAATCAAAGAGTCTACACTACCATTAGTCCATCCTCCATCCATCCACCAAGGAACTCCCAAGTCCTCCATGGATGACCCGGTCGTCCGGTCTCTCGACCGGTCCACAGGTCGGCGAAGGTCGAAGTCGAGGCACTTCGATGTCGTCGCCGAACTCTTGGTCTTGGCTATCTTGGATCACGTGCTCCAGGAAATCCTCCCGGAGGACATCGGATCCGATCGATTTGATCTCTCAGGCAGGCAGGTGTTTTCGGGAGGGCAAGCAGATCTGATTCTGCTGGTAAAAGCGAGGCTGACAAATCAGGATTTCTAGACTTTGGCGACCTAATACTATATCAGAAGAATCTCGGTTCAGCAAACCATGCAAAATACAATGGTTAAACTTTAAGCCTCTCAGAGAAAAAATCGATCCCTTCGTGATCGTCACCAAAACAGCTAACTGGGGCCACTCCTTGAAACTAACCATGGTTACCTGGATGGCCCCTGCGAAGACGATGTTCCCTCTAGAAACCAGGGGCTTTGTCCACTTCCGTGTTTGTTGGAGGGAGGCCTAACATCCTGGTTGACCCCAACATGAACCTATCAACACCAACACTGATGTCAAGTCCAGGCAGCTCAGTTGCAGGAAGTCTTTTGGGAGCCTAACCCAAGCCCGACTGGTGCCAGGTCCTTGTATCTTGCCTCAGCACGTGCACTTCCAGGAACGAACGTGCTTGGAATGACTCCACCGCCGAATTCGGCAGTTCGGTTTCCGCTTTCGAACGCCTGTGTTTGATCGTCCAAACATGCAAACCTTCTCTGACGAAGGACCTAGGATACCTGATGTTATGATCAAGAAGGTCCTGTTCTTGTTGGCCCAGTGAACCCCCAGCTAAATCCTGGCATTCAAAAGACCGCCGGTTTGGGGTGGAATAGCCTTCCCTTTTAGGGACAAAGAAGAAACGCACCACAAATAGATCACTTCACAATGTCCCGTGCATCTTTCGAGGGGATTGTGATTCAGGGTCAATAGACATGAAGACCACGAACAGAAACATCTGGCAATAGTAGATTTTTGCCCCCAAAAACCGCCCCACACCGCCGCATGCCATTCTCTGCCATGGCGCCATCTTGGCAATCTTCCCCTGCTCCATATCTCTCGTCTCCTCCTGAATGTGGTCCACCGACGCAGCGACGACGTCCACCGACGCTCAAAATTCTTTCGATGAGCCGACACGAAGAGCACAACACGTGACACGTTCCTTCTCCCCTTCCACGAGATCAACTTCAAACGCACGGGTTAGAGGTTTGGGACACCGGGTATAGGAAGGACCATTTGGGCATTCGTGCCCAAGCGAAGAAGCGCATCGGACATCATCGAAGAACGCCCGGTCTTGGCACCATCACACGGTCTTGTGAGGTGCGGAGTCTCCAAAGCTGGCAGAGTCGACTTCAAGTCGGTGAATAAGGAGTTGTTGGAACAGGAAAGATGTCACCTTTCAAGAGAGAGAGAGAGGAAAAAAAAAAACAAGAAGGAAGGAAGGAATCAAAGAAAGCGCAGCTACAGTTGGCTGCTCATCTGAGCCAAGGTATTCCCTCCAAAAACAGACCCGATGAGTTTACGACCACCAGGCCCAGATTGACCATGGGCCCTTGAGTGGAATCATGTCTTTCTGATGCAGACAAACAGGCTCTTATCATCTCTAGAATCTAAGACTTGAGGAAAGTAGACAGTTCTTGAGTCGGCACGCATCTAACGCAAACATGAAATCCAGGACACTCCCATTAAGTCAAACATCGCCAGCGGCCGATGTTTCACATCACGCCCATCACACCCACGGCAAAGCCCCCCCTTTTGGCCCACCGGTTCCGTGGCGACCAGGGCCCGAAAGAAAATCCGCTCCTTCTGCTTTAGTTCCTTCTCCAACCTCTCAATCTCCACGTCCAACTTGCGGCCCTGCGACTGCTCCTCCAAGGTCTTCTTCTCACCTTAGAGGAGGGAAAAACGCTTTTTCCCCAAACAGGTTACCGCTCGGGGTTCTCAATGCTTTCTATGAGCGTCCGCCTTGTGGGACAGCGTGTCCGCCTTCCGTCCGGCTTGTCTCCCTTGTCTCCCTTCTTGTCTCCGTTCTTACTGGTCATTGCGTCCGGCTTGTCTCCCTTCTGTCTCCCTTTGTCTCCGGTCTTGTGTTGGTCACTGTGTCCGGCTTGTCTCCCTTCTGTCTCCTCTTGTCTCCCTTCTTGTTGGTCATTGTGTCTTTGTCTCCGGTCTTGTCTCCCTTCTTGGTCATGTGTCCGCCTTGTCTCCCTTCTACCTCCTTTTGTCTCTCTTTTTGATGTCTACTCCTCCTCGTGTGCACAAGGCATGTGAACAGTGAACGATGCCTCTTTTGCATGGCAGGATTGTGATCCAAATCCTTGAGCTCACAGGCCGATGAACAGACGAACGACCGAAGGACCCGCGACCCTGTCCGTGGACCCGCGTTTGCACGGTCGTGTCCAAGGCTTTGCTGCACAACAAGGAGACACGTATTTCATGGGTCCCAATTGCTTTGTTCATTTCCGTTGAGCAAAAAGTCAACCACCAAGTTTCAACCTGTTACATCTCATGTGGTGAGGTCAAAAACCTCTTGCCCCAAGGGAATGTTTCCCCTCAAAAAAAGCTTGATCGTCTGGCCAAATCGCGTTTCCGCCCGCGCCGCGTAGGCCTGGCAAACAGGGACAATGGGGGAAGATGAGGTGCCTTCAAGACAAGACATAGCCAGCGAACCAGTGACATGGTCTCGATCCGGCGGTCCTTGAACACAGAATCTTGCTGCAAAACATGCAACTATGACGCCAGATGCGCCAAGGCTGAGATCCCAAGGCTGACAAATTTTGATCAGGAGTATCCACCACCCAAATGGCTGTGAGTCAAAACCTGGAGTGCGAGACTACCTGGGTAGGTTGCTTTGACCCACGAAAGTCTACCATCACAGGTCTTTTCAAGAATCTGCACCTTTACTGTATTTGGCCCTTGACCCTTGACCCCGTTTGACCCGCACAAATGTAACGTATTTCCTTGCAAAAGAAGATGCAACTGCCCTCACCCTTCTCTTGACATAAGACTGTCAGACTGCCTTCGCCAGATGATGAGGCTTGGCCGGAGTTGGACACTTTCCAAAATCCATCTCCACCAGTGTGTCCTGTTTTCAAAGTTTGGCAAACAACACTTTGCATTTGATGCAATGCCCAACGGCTGCTTTGGTATGGACATAGCTGTAGCTGTTTGCACACAAACACATACTTTTCACTATGTTGGAGGCAACTGCGGCACAAGGGGGACAACAAGGAACAGAAAGGAGACAAGACGGACACAGTGACCAACACGAAGGGAGACAAGACCGGAGACAAAGGGAGACAGAAGGGAGACAAGGCGGACACTATGACCAACAACAAGGGAGACAAGGACAAAACGAAACAGAACAAAGACAAGGCGCGGACACAGTGACCAACAAGAAGGGAAACAAGAAGGGAGACAATGGAAAACAGAATGGAAACAAAACGGACACAGTGACCAACAAGAGGGGAGACAAGACCGGAGACAAAGGAAGACACAAGAAAGACAAGGCGGACACAATGACCAACAAGAAGGGAGACAGGAGACTGACCAACAAGAAGGGAGACAAGACCGGAGACAAGAAGGGAGACAAAGGGAAACAGAAAGGGAAACAAGCCGGACACTGTGGACACAGTGACTGCCATGCAGAAAGACTACATTGATGCCCCAATTTCAATACTTTGGTCAGTAAAAATCATATTGGCTCCTTTCCAAAGGTTCTACATATAAGCTCCACAAAACGGTCGCAAGCAGACCGTGTCACCCAAGTCAATATTTGCATGCGATCATCAACAGAATTCTTTTTGGGGGATGCCGTTGTGGCTCGCGTCAACAGCAATCGGAAGAAATCTGCTGAATTAAATCACATATAAGCTTTAGCTAGAGGGGGCGGGCCCCGTGTTTGTTCAGGAAATGCTGTGTTTTGTAGTGTTTTTTGACGATGGAAAAATGGATATGTTTTTGGACTACATGAAGGCGATGCCGGTTATGCCGGCCGGGGGAGATTGCATTATCGACATCGCGGTCCATGCGCAACCCAGGGACTTGTTATCATCCTTTGGCGGTTTTTGAAGTTTTCATTCCTGATATTTAAGACGCCGGCCCCTTCCGACCAAAGCTACTGAGCATCTCCCTCCTGATGCAGGCAGGAGTCCAGCAAGTTCGATGCGCTGCAGGCGCTCCAAGTGGCTGTCGCTAGGATTAAAAGGATCTAAATATATATCCCTTCCGTCATGGTGCGTCGCACAACAGATATACATAGAAGAGAGAGAGAGGGAGAGAACTGGAAGAGGTGGCTGCGAGTCCCAAAACACAGATCCAAAGACAACCTCATTTCCAAGCAAAATGCTAAGTTGATGGCCGTGAAACCAGGCTCTAGTTCTGAGAAGAAGTTCTCGAATCCTCTCCAGCTCATGTCGCGCTTTGCCTCTGCAGTGGCACCACCATTGGTGGCTCGCTCTCTGGGTGATTTTATTGATTTTGTTCAAACGCGTTCATACAGCGCTTTCCTGTTCCTTTCCCTTTCCTGCATGTCCTTTCCACTATGCTCCTAAGTCGGCACCTTCTGTCTCCCTTTGTCTCCGGTCTTGTCTCCCGTTTGTTGGTCACAGTGTCCGGTCTCCCTTTGTCTCTGGTCTTGTCTCCCTTCTTGTTGGTCACTGCGTCCGTCTTCTCTCCTTTCTGTTTTCCTTTGCCTCCCTTCTTGTCTCCCGTCTTGTCTCCCTTCTTGTTAGTCACTGTGTCCGTCTTGTCTCCCGTCTTGTCCCCCTTCTTGTTGGTCATAGTGTCCACCTTGTCTCTTCTGCCTCCCTTTGTGATGGTCATTGTGTCCGCCTTGTCTTCCTTCTTGTCTCCCATGTCTCGAAAAATGGACTTGGGAATGCTTCTTTGTTGTCCCACCTGTTTGGGGTCTACGGTGGTGTAAAGAGGCGGAGGTCGACGAAGGATGTCGCCAGCACAAAGAGTGGAGAAAAGCATCGCAGCAGTTTTTTAATTGTTTGTCCCTACTGACAGTAACCAGGAGATATTCACCCCACTTGTCCCTACTGACAGGAGATATTTGGCCCACTTGTTCACACCCCTACAAAGAAAGCAAGGAAAAGTCGACGCCCACTTCGGACACCTCGAGGGCCTCATTTTCCGCCGGTGACATGTCACCCCCGAGCGGAACCGAATGGGACAAAGATCAAGTGACTCGGCGGAACCAAAGAAACCTCGTCCGCAGGCGGCATCGCGGACTTCTCAGGCTGCGCTGCTATCGCGGACGCGGCGCGGCTGCGCGAATCCGCCGAAGGAAGAGTGGGTGTGTTTTTGAGATCCGGGGGAAGATGAAAAACGCTGAACGGAACATGGGGGGACATGATGGGACCTGCTGATTCTTGGAACTGAGGGTCAGGAGATCTACGACTTGCCTGCTCCACCAGCCGCCTCAAGAGGGTAAACCCCACGCCGCACCAGCTCGGTGGATGAGACCGAACCGGTGAGGCTCGGCTTGGCTCGGTGCGCCACGAGGAACCGGCTCGGTGCGCCAAGGAGCTCTTTTCGATCTGTGCTTCAAGGTCTTGCAAGGATTTCCTGGGAGAAGACGCGAGATGAGAAAACAGACCAGACCGTCGAAGCGGTCTTGAAGCGATGATAGGAGGATGATAGGAACATGAGAGCGGAATGAGGAGAGGAAACCAGAAAATCGACATGAACGTGGAAAACCACCTGTTTCTAGAGAAAGATGATCTTCCAGGGCCAGAGGGACCTATTTTCCACGCCCATAATTGTTTGAGGGAGCCTAAGTGGAGTCATCATTTGTCCAAAAACATGTTTCTTGGTAGTTCATTCACCTTCTTTATCCACTGGAGTTGTGGGATTCCATCTACTTCGATGCACACGCTGCCTCATCCATTCTGCCTGCCAGAAGCTCTATCCAAAGAATTCGGAGGTCAAAGCAAAACCAAAAGCAACTGAACACTGTCAAGAAACCTTTGGGTTTATAGTCAATCACGATGCAGGGCTCAGACCCTAGATGTCATTCGCATCGAACATAGATGAAAATAGAGTGTCAACTAGTCTGTTGTGACCCTGTGTGCCAACAGTTGACGATCCACTATCATTTGGAGGTGTTCTTTTCTCTCTCGCTCTCTCTCTCTACGGATCCAGTGACTCAAGTCTTTTTTTGAAAAACATCTGGGATTACCTAAAAGCGGCGTTGTGCTGCCGTTGTTTGAGGTGGCTCAACTGAACTTGTTCTTCAAAATCAAAAAATCATATATGTCATAGGGATCCAGTCGTACCTTCCCAGGTTAGGTGATTGGAGACTATACTTGGAGGGCCCACACGTACCTGAGAAGGTACATGGATCCCTAGGGCCCTAGGGTCCGGACCGTCCGGTGTGCAGCTCTATGCCAGGAAGCTCCGGGTCCCCGAACGACAGGCCCGGAAGGTCCGCCCCGCCCCGCCCCGCCCCGTTGGCCGCCGAGAAGCTGATTTTCCAGGACGTGCTTCCGGAGCTCTTCTTGCCGCCTTTTGAAGACAGTCTCCTTCTCCTGAAGAGGCTCCGAGAGGGCGAGAGGGCGGTGGGGCGGTGGGGTGAAGCCACGGGGGTGGAGCCACAGACGAACATATCGGTTTCCAATCAAAGTATCCAGTTCAACTGTTCAACTAAAATGTTTTTATTGACAAGTAAAACCACGGAGAGAATAAACGTGGTTTTCAGACGGGTTGAGAACGCCAACCACTTACTTCATCTAATCAACTTGGTGTTCTACCGTCTTGGAGAGAAGAACGTGCCCCAAAACACGTAGTATATATTTTTCTGCAAAGCCAGAGCTAAAAGATGAAACCACTCCTGTTCCCCAAACGCGCGCGCCGAGCGCACCAGAGATCGCTAGCCCGCGCTCGTTCGCCGCGTCGTTCGCCGCCGCGTCGTGACGCCGTCCGCCTTGCAAAAGGCCAGTCGCGTCTCGACGGACTTCCGCGTGGACTGAAGGGCCAGCTGTGCCTCACGGTCCTGGACGAAAACAAGAGAGACTTCCCCCGGTCTTCGCAACCGCAAGACCAGGCCGGAAGCACCCGAAACAAGATCTCCTTTCCAACCATCTTTGGACAAACCTAGTGTGACCGCACTGTTTGGAGAAAAAAGAACAAGCACGTGGTTCCACGCGCATGCCATCGTAGTCTGTCTTCCCGTTCCATCGCAGTGAAAACCGGGGTGTTCACCTCCCTTCCCATGCCATGAAGTCTCCTCGCTTTCCACTTTGAGGAGTTGTGTGGATTGATTCTCCTCCTGGAGTCCTTTCAAGATGC